GATCCCGCCGGCGGGATCGCCGGCCCCAAGGGGTTAAGGAAGCACTTCTTTACACAGCGTGTAGTCAGAGTATGGAATAGTCTTCCTGATAACGTAGTGCAAGCTGAATCCTTGGGTTCCTTTAAATCAGAGCTAGATAAGATTTTAACAGCTCTGAGCTATTAGTTAAGTTCTCCCCAAGCGAGCTCGATGGGCCGAATGGCCTCCTCTCATTTGTATAGTTCTTATGTTCTTATGTTCTTATGTTCTTATCACGTGGAGGCATATGCAGGCATCAGCTGTATCATTAGCGTTAGATGATTAAATATTTCCTGTCATCATGTCGTCAACTGACTTGGTCTTTTCCTCTGCCTTTGAGAGATCCTTAAAACAAAGTCTGAGGTCTTCCGTTTTCCGGCACATCAAGCCTTAAGCATGCAGTGAAGACAATGGCCATTGCAGACTCATTGAATACCACAGACTCACAGTCTAGGAATAGCCCACTGAATATGCGATAACAGCCACGTGGCAAGTTGTAAATATGACATGGGGAAGAGAATACATAACGGAAGAAAGGCTCATATGGGAAACCTGCAGAAGCAAAAGGGACCATAATATCACTCAGTAAACAATAAACCTGTATACAGAATCCCTGTAGAAAATAAAATCAAGGTCCAGGGCAAGGGCAAACACGGAAACTTGGTTAAAATGCATTTGTATTTAAGAGTCAAGAGTTGACTTGTACAGAGTTCTATTTGCATAGGCAAATCTTCAGGAGATATGCATGACCTTGGCATGGAACCCCTAACCAGTGCCTTGTTACTTCCTGGAGAGGCCGGATATAGTGCTCCCTAGTTGGTCATGACTGACATCTTCTAAAACTGCTGCCATGCAGCCAAGGTGTCTGTGCTTAAATTTCTGCTGAACTTCACACTTCTCATCACTGAGAGAGTACTCGGCTTACGGGAATTTATAATTATTTTGTGTGCTTTCCATTTCAGTGGCTATCTATGTCTTACCTACATAAATTGCTTGGCATGTGCAGTCCAGTTATGCCTGATCGAGTCATGTCCGATCACATTTACGTCTGAGGTCCATAGTAAATAACATGCACTTATTGAGAGATGCCTGAAAGCGGACATAGTAGGACATTAGTGGGTGTATCGCTTAGTGCAACAAGTGCAGGAGACTGGGAAGCACTGCCAATCCTTTAATGACCCGCTGTCCGTATCTAACCTATAATGCAGTAAGCATGCAGTAATGTACATGTGACGGACAGCTATAATACTGAGATACGCCCAAATTGACTTGCATCCGGTGGTGCTGGTTCCAAATGCGAATCAAGTCCACTTAACGCTGCATCAATATCTGTATGAGATAATATACCCACATTTTTACCTCTAGAGGGCCCTATATATTAAGGTATGGTCTCTTCTCTGTTTTATTTCTAGAGAGCCCTATATCTTTAGGTTATAATGCTCATTCTTCTTATGTCTCCAAGTCTTTGAACTAAAATGTACAGCGTTATGCATTCCAGAAAATATGTTAACTAACATGCTAATGTGTCAAGATTGGGTTAACGCGTTATGGTTTTATTGTGGGTCTTTACTATGTCTTTACTATCTTTACAATGATTACTTGTGACCGAAAATATGTGGTGAAGTGTCTGCTAAGCACAGAGGACTGGTATGTGAGAGTGTGTCTTGTTAGTGGCTCAGTCGGTTGTACGTGAGCAGGCTTGTACACGTCTCGCTTTAGGATTAGTCTCTGGAAACCCTTTTCCCTACTTCTTCTGCCTCTGGTTGCATATTTCTTCCATGTTGTATGGTTTTTCTCTGGCCAATTACGTTTCCTCCTGCAGTCCAAAGACATGCACTTTGGTGAATTTATGTCTCAGAATTACCCATAGCACAACTGTGTATGTCGTGTGAACTAGCATCCCATCTAGAATATTCCCTTGCCTCCAATCCCACCACCACTCAACTACGTACTGGGTATGTGGTTGGAAGGGGGGTAAATGGATGGATATCACTCAGCTTAGAGGTGTGATGACCAATCCTGGATTTCATACAATCCTAGAGGTCTTAATAGAGAGCCCTTCTCACTAGGGTGACTCCCTACTCCATGTCAGGGGGGACACAATGGGCCAGGACAGGGTTTGTAAACTACCATTTCAATTAAAGAGACCCGGATTTCACTTAAGCACTTTGTTCTTGCTGTGTGCTGATTGGTCAGTCTCCTATAATCATGCATGTGTCATTAATGTTAATGTGACACAACTAGAGTCTTTCAGTCAAGGAAACAAACCAGTCACAGTACAAGAAGAATTTAAATAATTAGCCTTTCAGTTTTAAAGTAGTTTGTAAAACTTAGAGTAGCTCATAGTGTCCCCCCGATATGGATTAGGTGGGCACCCTACTTCTCACAGGTCTACTCCACTGTCAGCATGACTGCCTTTCATGGTTAGTAGCGTTCATTGCCAAACATTTCTCATTGCACTGGCAATCCTCAGATACACCACTAGATGACAGTAGTAACCCAAATCGCAAATAGGGTCCCACAATATTCTGCTCTGTTGACCCAGCTAGGCTTCATTCCTTTGCGCTTCATTTGACGTTGGTTTATTTAACAAACAGCAGTGCTGAACACAGTCTCCAAGACTCCTTCCTCCTTTTCATATTCTGCCTAGCAACAGGCGCTTTTTCTCTACCAGGTTCAACACAACCTTAATGACCCGGGGCAGGTGGTTAATGTGTAACACTGTTCTTTACAATACAGCATGCGATAAGAAGAATCTCAGCCTTCTTTGACTCTGACCTTTACCCAGCGTTCGTGTTCGACTGACGAACCAGTGGTTGCTGGGTTCTTGTGCTAGATGACCTCTTCTAATGGTCAATGTGCAGCAGAGCTTACAGTCTCTTAGGTACAGGAGAATCTCATATGCTACAAGTACGTGGCCTGTTGATTATGGTTATAAGTTATTAGATGTTTGGTTTTATTTCACACCTCTTACTCAAACCAACACACAATGAAGCACATGCATTTTTCACATTTGTTTAACAAATTTTTATTTCCATTGGCTCTGCCTCATATGCGCCTGCGTCTGTACCTCGGTCATAGTCAATAACTGTAAGGATTGCTTCTCTATAAAAAGTGGCACATAGGTCAAAGCAATCCTAACATGGAGAACAGGGTTCAGGGAACACAAATTGGCCTGTGTTCTGATGGGTAGATTTGACAGCCAGGTCCTTTTCCCTGTCTTGGCTGCGCAGGGGCGCTTAGCCGAGCACCTCCAGAACCGTGGGTGGAATTAAGCGAATCGCGTTCTCCTCCAAGTGACTTATGTCAGTTGATGATCAGCAGAATGAAAAGAACCGTGAAAATTAACACTTTATATCACTTTATATCAGTGTTTGGCTTCCTGTGCTGGTGTCATGGTGTTAAAAGGGGAACCTGCCAGAAACTAGATTATTATTGAATGAATGAATGAATGTTACACACACATATATATATAGTGCTTTTCACCCAATGCACTTTACATTATTGACCTGACAATGGAATAAACTCTTCACATTAACATGGAACTGCGTGTCATGTCCTTAAAAAAAAATGAAAATAACATACAATGCAATAAGTGCTGAAAGAAAATTTTAGTGAGACTGAAGTATAGAACCTCAGCCCCACCACAAGTTTATTCCAGAAAGGGTCGGTGTGGTTTCTGAAAGTATGTGAAGTCTGAAAGGAGCTGCCAGTTTTTACAGGGCCTACGCCACCTTCCTAATCAGCGACAGACAGATGCGGTCAGCCTTTGTGAACAATTTACTGCCTTTATAAAGCTGTCTTCATGAGTTTTGAACATATTCTTCTCTTACTTTAAAAATTTTAGGGCTGAACTTAAAACTAAGGTGAGGTATCTCATCCTGAGGCTCACTATGACATGTTCTACAAAGGCCAGATCCATCTCCTGCAGGAAGCTAATAGTAATCACATTATACTACTGAAGAAAACAGCTATATCATGTGTATGGGAACTGACAGTTGATTTAATCATATAGGTAACTTAACTGTAAATTCAACATCATACTGTCTTAATACTGCATGCACACCAGTTGAATAGTAATGACCTGAACTTCTCTGTTATACATAAGAAAAAGAAATAACTAGTTGGTGGTTAGCACTGTTGCCTCACATGTCTAGAACCAGGGTTCAAGTCTCATCCCTGGATCTTTATGGTGGAGTTTGCCTGTTCTCTTGTCTGCCCCAGTCCAAAGACATGCTAAGGTGAACTGGAGTTGCCAAATTGTCCATTGGTGTGAATGTGTGTGTGAATGATGCCTGTGCCCTGTGATGGGTTGGCATTCTGCTCTGAGTTATTCCCTGCTTTGTGCCCATAGCTTCTGGGATAGACTCTGCAACCCTGGGTATAAAAAATGGATGGCTGATTTAACTACAAAATACCTAAACAATGACAAAACGTCATCATTAGCAGCAATAAGAAAAACTGTAAAAAAATAAAATCAAATGAATTAATTCAACATCAAAATGATAATTAACATTATTACTTTAATCACATGGGATATTGCATTAATAAAATTCTGGGTTAGCTTATACTACAAAGTAGGAGTGTCAGGTTAATGCACTGTGACCTATGTCCTGTGGTCTCTACCAGTAACTCGCAGTTGGTTTGGCAATACTGAGCTCCCAACCCTATACTACATGGGAGGGGAGTAAAAAATTGGTCTCTTCCAGTCCATTAACCTGCATTGCTGGTGGAAAAATGGCACGTCCTTTCATTCGCTGTCTCAGACTTGTATTTTATAAAGTGCCATTTGGGGTAACTCTGTCCAGGAACTGTGTGCAAATAGTTCGTCCAGTTTGCATGACTTCAGGTATGCATCTTATTTCTGCCTCAGAGAAGAAAATTTGCTTAAATGGAAAACTGAAGTAGTTTCATCCATGTTAATAATATGTCTTTTTTGTTTGTCCAATACTGTAGAGATGGGTGTTAACATGCTACATTTACCCCATTGCATTTACTCTAGTTACTTTAAAAAAAAAAGAAAAAGAAAAATTATTTTTGCTCATGTTTTCGCTGTTGTTGTTTTGCTATTGCTGTGTGTGCAGCCATTATTGTATTGTATAGAATATGTCTGTATTGTAAAGTATCCTTGAGTGTGAGAAAGGCACTATATAAATATATTATTCCATGACAAACCTAAAATTAGCTACATCAAAAGCATTGCAAGGTAATAAAACTGTTACATATATGTAAATGCATGTGCATGTGTGTGCAGACTTGTTTTCAATGTCTAGTGTGAGATCAAATACATATGTGATAGAACGCCTTTTTTGGTAGGCAAAATGTTTTTTTTTTCCACAATCAGGATGAAATATAACATGAAATCTACAGAAACGCTTTGCGCAAAGTTGCAATTTTTGCGGACATTTTTCATCTGACTATTTTTGTTTTATGTATTTAAATGTGTGGGGGTGGTACAAGCAGCAAATCTTGTGGCAGCAGAGTAGTGCATAGAACCATGCATATACCGATCAGGACCTATAGTGAATGTTCACATCAAAAAATAAAATTGGGAACAAATGTGATCTCAGTAATTTTGATCATTGATAGTTGGTTCCAGGCAGGCTGATGCACACCAGTTCCTAGAGTTTACTCAGAAAAGTGTGAAAAAATACATCCAGAGAGCAGCAGGTTTGTGGAAGGAAATGCCTTGTTGATGTGACAGATAAGACAAAAATGGCCAGAGGTGACAGAAAAATGGTTCAAGGTGACAGAAAGGTTGTGGTAACTCAGATAACTTCTCTGTATAACTGTGGAGAGCAGGAAAGCATCTCAGAATGAACAGGATGTTAAAGCTTGAGGCAAATGGGCTGCTACAGCAGAAAGCCATGTCGGGTTTCACTCTTTCGGTCATAAACAGAAAGCCGAGGCTGCAGTCACCAAACTAGATACTTGACTTGAAAAATGTAGCCTGATCTGATGACTCTCAATTTCTGCTGAAGCACATGAATCCATGGACCAAACTTATCTTGTCTCAGTAGTCCAGGCTAGTGGTGGTGGTGTAAAATGGTGTAGGGAATGTTTTCTTGTCACACTTTAGGCCTGTAAATATCAATTGATTGTCACTTGAATGCCATAGCCTATTTGATTATCATTGCTGATCATGTGCACCCCTTCATGCCCACAATTCATTCATCTTCTAATGGTTTCTTCCAGCAAAATAATGCACCTTGTCACAAAGCAAAAGTTGCCTCAAACTGGTTTCATGAACATGACTGAGTTCCGTGTTCTTCAGTGGCCTTTCTCCCTGCAGGCCCCTGGAGGATGGGCTCCCCCTTTGAGTCTGGTCCCTCCCAAGGTTTCTTCCTTTTCGGGAGTTTTTCCTTGCCACTGTCGCCTTTGGCTTACTCACTGGGGGATTTGGGTGGGGATGCTGTAAAGCGCTTTGAGACGATGTAATGTTGTGATAATACGCTATACAAAAATAAAATTGTTTGTTGTTCTTGTTGTTCTCATTAACTCAGTCTAAATTCAGTAGAAGACCTTTAGAGTGTGGTGGAACGGCAGATTCGCAGCACAGATATGCAGCTGAAAAATCTGCAGAAATTGTGATGCAGTCATATTGTTACGTGCTGAATGGGCACGGAGTGGAGACAGAGGAGTGGGAGTCCAGGAAGTCAGGGAAGCGAAGGATTTATTGGGGAAACAAGGGTTTTATGGGGGAGACAGTCGGGCACACGGGACAAACAGGCAGTAAACGTCAATGATAGGACTGGGGGAAGACGAACAGCGAGGTACTTAAATACACCAGACTACATTGAACGAAACTAGACACAGCTGGTGATTCCACACAGAACAGTGAGGGAGGGGGCGTGGCACACGGGGATCAGACGAGCGGGGCATGACACATATCAGAATGGAACAGAATATGAAATGGATGTTTCCATCATCTAGTGGAATCCATCCCATGAAAAAGTGAAGCTGTTTTCAGAGCAAATAGAGGTCCGACCCAGTATTAGTATAATGTTTCTATAATATAGTGCTCAAGGAGTGTATATTAGGTATAGTTTATATAACAATGTTTTTTCTCTTGTCCTTGGTAACAGAAAATTAGTGCTAACATTGTCTAACAGTGCTAAAGGATCAATCTAATGAGTCAATGATCTGAAGATATGATATTTGTGTAATGTATAGAATAATACAGTCCTTATTAAATTATTATGTTTTTAAACCACTTTTGGCCCTATAGGATTGCAGTCTCTGACACGATACGATGATACACAAGTAACCGTAGACTGGAAGAAGAAGCTGACCCCAGAACAGTATGTGGTAACAAGGGAGAAGGGCACAGAGATGGTAAGTCCAAGTCTTTCACTGAACCAGTGTGTCATGATCTGTCTCCGTCTGTCCTGTTCCCTGTTCTGCCATATGGTTTCCAGATGTCTGTGTTGGCCATCCTGTGTCTTCCTCTTGTTTTCAGTTCCCCATTACATGTGTTCCCTAATGGTTAGTCACTTGTTATGACCCACACTTAGCCCTCGTTATTAGCGAATATATGTTCCTGCCTGTGCTTTACCTCTTGGCCCAGCCATTGTAGATGTACATTGTACAATAGCTACAATATTAGCTATTGTAGTGGTGAGTGTTGGTGATGTTCTGTTTCCCCTTGTACACTAGTAGCCAAAATTGTGGAAACACCTAGCATTTTGGCATTCAAAGAATGTTACAAATATCATACATTGAAAGAATAAATAAGTATCTGGAGCAACAGTTGAATCAAGTTCTGCAATCTCTAAAAACTGGAAGTGTTTCTACAGTTTTCGACACTAGTGTAGTTAGTGTGTCATTTGTTTAGTTTCCCTGAACCTTGCCCTGGTGTTAGAGTAGCCCTTTATTCCTCTTGTTATACCTGCTTCCTGTTTTGACTCCTTGCAGTCCTTTTGTTTCTGTTTAGTTGTGCTTCCTTATTCTAATAAACCCCTTCAGTTCTCCCTGAAGGCTGCGTCTTGGTTCTCCCTCCTTTTGTGATGATACAGTGCAGGACACTAACATAGTTCAGGTCCTCAGAGGGTTATGGCTAAAGCTCAAGGTAGGACTAGAATTTTTTTTTTTTATGAGGCAGAAGAGTATGAAAATATGACACAGAACCATAACCCACAAGTGAATACTCATCTCTGCCCTAAGCTAGTGCTTCTCAAACTGGTCCTCTGGGTCCCCAGACGGTCCATAGTTTTGCAAAAAACTGGACTGTCTGTTGGTTCCCAAGGACTGGGGTGAAAAACATTGCCATAAGCTTTCCAGGGTCCTCTTGAATCTGCCCAGCTGGCCTTAATGGGATTGATTGCCCTGGTTTGGACAAGCAAGGGCTTTTGAAACACATTTAAATCTCTCACTACCCGCTTCTCTGCCCAGCCATTTAGTGGGATCTATTTGAACCACACTGAGGAAGGCATGTACCACTGTATCTGCTGTGACATCCCGCTCTTCAGGTAAAGATCTCTTAGTCAAACTCTGCTGCTACTCTTGTGTTCAGAAATTCAGTGCTTTACCATTACTGCAAATAACAACAATAATAATCATTTTAATTGACTCTGTATTTCTCATCCAATACGCAATATCCTTGATGAGCACAGACGTTTCATGCTAAATAATTGATTATGAAAAGCGTGTCAGTAAATCCTTATTATTTTTATAGCAGCCTGAGTTTACGGTTATGATGGACAAAATCTTTATATTCATTATATAGTCAAAAAGTACTTCTGCATTTGCTGGGACTTTCATTGTATTAGTATTTGCTAATCTCGACATTGTCTTACAGATTAAAGCAACTGCAGAACTATGCCATTAGTGCCTGTTAATCGTAGATTAGCTTTCAAATAGATTAGCCATTTGCCACCTGGTGGTAGGTTCAAGTTATGCAAGCTGATTTTCAGTATTGATATCTCATATGGGGTCTTTAACCTGATCTCACGTCCCTTTTCAGCTCCAAGTCCAAGTATGACTCTGGGACAGGCTGGCCATCATTCACCCAGGCCCATGGGACATGGGAAAATGACGAGAATCATGCCAACATTTTGCGAAGACCTGACAACTCGCTAGGTAGTGAGGCGACAGAGGTGATATGCAAACAGGTATGCTATATTGCAAATTATTGTCGTATCATGCCGAAGGAGAAGTTTTAGTTTGACCTTGGTTTGATTTTGATGCTAGGCTAAATGAGTAGTTATGAAAAATGGATGGATGGATCTATGCATGTTTCACTCTGATTATGACTGCAATGTGTTTTTCATAGTGAATGGAAACATTTTCACAAAGTATTATGTGCTAGTTCATAGCAAAATCAAGATAGATTTGCCAGCATCTTTTTTGCACAATTATCACATTTGCTGGTTCCATCATTAGCTTTTTCCTATTCTGTACAGGTAAGTTCAACACTTGTGGCACTTTTCCACTGCCACCAAGAACTGAGTTGCACCCAAGCTGAACCAGAAAGAGACGATTTTCCATTGTAAATCATGCGAAATGCAGGGAGGCATATAAAAGCTGGTAATCTGCAACAATATGCATGCATTAGTAGTATCGTGTATCATGATGCATTAATAAATTCCTGATAATTCGGAACTTGAAAATTTCCAATCTCTGATTGGAAGTAATATAGAATGGCTAAATGGAATGGATTTGAAATGTAAATTTACGCAAGCAAATTGTAATTCTGCTGGCGATTGATGCTAACATAACATGCCAATTCTCACAGACGTGTTAGTGGAAATTAGCACGATAAAACATAATGTACAGTTGAGCAACCGTGATTGACGTAGGCGATGACATCAATGCTGAAAATGCATTGACATCAATATTTTAAATTGAGTCATCTTTTTTTCTCATTATGGTAACTCTTTACTTGATAGGCAAAAATACTTAGTAATAACTCAGTTATTATTGAAGTACAAATCTTGAACAAATCATGAACAAATACAGTCGCTACTATACCCATTAATTATGAACAAACATCCATATTTCACTTGTGTTATTCATTCTTGTTCCTTTAGTAGTTCACAAAGGTTTACAGAATTAACAGATATAGTAAAAAAATATAGTAACTGCTTGGGATAAAAGTTGCATCATGATTCATTAATGATGAACCAACTCGAGATCAGTATGTAACTAAGACTTAGTTTGTGGTTAATTAATACATAAGTAATAGCATAATACTATATTTTTGTACCCCATCAAGTAAAATGCTACCTAAATGATTTTAATGAAACTACCTTTTTGATTTCTAAAATGCTTCAATACATTATAACAAATAATTTCCTTTGATATCACTACATAATTATGTGAGTAGTTAAAATTATCGCAAAAGAAAAAAGGTGGTTTGTACACTGTATAAAGTTTCGATGGCAAACCACAGCGGCACTAGCAGTATGCACGATCACCTGAAGAGGAAACACCTATTCAGGATGATGGACCACCAGAAGAGGCAAAAGCCTAAGTGTTATCTATTCATGTATATTTAATTACCATTAGTATAGAGAGCTTTTGCGTATTGCAGCACTGATGAGATCTGGTAGCCCTAGTGTTGTTGTTGCTGTTGTAGATTATAGTTGTATTTCTCTATTGTCATGCCTGTGTCTTGTGTGTAGCCTGTCCGATCCTCGCATACTCTTAGCTTGTATAAGTCTCCCACCATGTATGCACCTTACAGTTCGGTGTTTGATCACCTCGTGTTTCCCTGTTATACTTCGGTTCGGTGCTTGTTAGGTGCTGGTTACAGTCCTGTTAAGGACTATAATAAAGATTGTGTTCTGTCCCGGCAAGCAAGTCTCCTCGTTCTTTGCTGCTATCGCGATGCCTCGGTCTGCCTGGCGCTACAATATGTTTTGTCCTTGTAGTTGCTAAATACATTCATTATTAAAGCCATAAATTTGTCTTTCTGTTACCTTAGGATTTCCATTGAATAAGTGTTTGAAAAAATGTTTTGGCTGGAATCTAGGATTATTCTACATTCATTGATAGTACCAGCAATGCCTTTACCAAGTTGACCCTTCTGTAGTGAATAACTGAGGTGAGCTGGAACCGTGCTGGAAACGTTCTGTAACTAGTGTCTCTTTGTGGTTCTGGTCGGGTATGGCCTAGTTCCTTGTGCCAGTGGTAAGTGGTCTATTTTGCAAACAATATATGTGAAGGGAGAACTTAATCAAACTGAGTGAGATACGGTGATGGTGTCCATTGTTGACACAGCCCTGTTGCCTTGTTTTTACAGTGCGATGCACACCTAGGTCACGTGTTTGATGATGGACCGGACCCCACGGGCCAACGATTCTGCATCAACAGCTTGGCCCTGAATTTCAAACCCAAAGTTAAGTAGTGTGATTGCAGAAAAGGAAATTCCACTGAAAGACACCGGTGTTTACCCTATTCCTCACCTGAAAACCTACACTTACATGTCACAAAGTTTTCATATAGATCCCTGCTCACCATCGTTGCTTTTAGTGCATGACAAATATTTAGTAATAGCATTACAAGTCGATTTGGAGCTTTGTTTCTTGCTTTTAGTGCATGACAAATATTTAGTAATAGCATTACAAGTTGATTTGGAGCTTGGTTTCTTGCTCCCCTCCCCCCCCCACCCCGTACCTCTCCACATTTCATTTACGCATTTCCTGAGGTTTTCACACAATACTCTAATAAATAAGAACAACATGTTACAAGTGGACTGAAGTCAGAAATTGTATTGTTCATTTTACATTACAGGCATTTTATCAACATCAGTCGTCTCCTAAGTTTTGTTTTACTATTTGTTTAAAACAAAGTTAAAAAAACTGAGTAATGTGCAAGATAGTTTAAAGGTAATAAGCAATTCACCATGTGACACAGATAGCACTAAAAATACACAACGCTGTGGTTAAGTTCAGCCCAGTAGCAACTGTTAGTTGCATTTTGCAGAAATGGCTTTGAGTTGTCAACATTTTCAATCCTTCCAAGAGCATGCAAAATATTTTCCATAACATGCAAAATATAATCACTGATGCATCAATAATAATAATAATAATACCACAATTGTATCACACTTTTCTTTGCATTATGACATCATCATCAATGATACTGTACATGCACCATGAAGATAAATTAAAATCTGATTTGCTATATGATCAGCGATCATCACTCTTTCTGTATTAGACATGATCAACATGCAGCTAATAGCAATTTATTATTATTGATTAAATCAAGCCCAGCTTTGAGTAAGAAGTTTCCAAAGTGATTGTAGAAATAGGCTCTCGGCTCACCACAAGCCTACCCTGGGTGAGTAGCTGGAAGGTGCCTGAATGCTTTGGGAAGGATGGCTCTCTCAGATCAACGCTGGATTCAATCACATCCTGCGGCTTTTAGCTTGGTGGCCCCACTGTGACCCACAAAACTGTTCTTTCTCATTGCTCACTAGCCAATCATCTTGCTCCAGCCTGATCTTAATCTGTTGTATTTCTATACTTAAATGTGTTATCAAAAATATCAAAGCAATATCTAAGACCCAGACCCCAAACAGAAAATAGCGATACCATTCACCAATATACCCTGTCAAGAAAGAAAGTAATTTTACTGTTAACAATATTCATGTGAATAGAACAGTTTATGCACCTTACGTTAACTATGTAAGCATCACCATGGCTATTTTTATGTTTAATTTCTGCATTTATTTAAAGTGGTTGCTTGTAACACCACCATGTAAATCGACAAACTACAAAATTTTCATCAAAAATTTGAAATATGGAAGTATGTACTTACATAGCTCGGGACAAGAACAATCTCCACTGCATAAAAAAAGTAAACAGACTTTTAAAATGGCTAAACCTCAAAGCGTTTGATGTTGACCTAGGTGGTAGTAATGTTTCTTACCTTTCATGGGTCATTTCTTGAAGTTGAGAACAGGACTAAGCACTAAAGCTTACAATTTACATGTGTACCACAGCCGGGTCATACTGGCAGAGAATAAATTGTGTTCATGTGAAATAGGAATGCAATACATGGGCGGAGCATCACAATCTTGCTAAGTTACAAGGCACAAGTGTGGCAGTGTGCGTGTGCATGGGCATAAGTTACAGGGGGGTCGTAACCCCAGGTTTGGGTGTGTGGAGTTTGCATGTTCTCTCAGGGTTTGTGTGGTTTGTGAGCTAACCACCTGGTTTGTGATAAAAGCTTGAAACCTAGTGTAGCGAGTGGCAATGGGATACTGCCGGATGGTACCAAACAATGGTACTAATGGCCACAATTCAGCTCGACTACGCCACCCCAGGTGTTACACCCAGAGAAAGCTTGGTCGTCCTACCCCCAGGCCAAGGCACACTGGTCCGTTTACCATAAGAGCGGAGAGACATTGTTCCAAACACACAAATTTTATTAAAGCTAAAACCATAAGAAGAGTAGTCAATCAGAACACCATAGGCCTAAAGTACAGCCCGGATACCAGCAGCCACTTCTTGCTGGTCTAAGACTGGGCGCTGAAACCTAAGACAGCACAGAAGAACCCAAAGGATTCAGGCAATCACACGGGTGTAATCACACCAAACCCACAAAAAAAGGAAAAGCACTGCAGTTTAAACAAACAAAAATTAACCAAACAAATAAAATACATGGCAACATAACCTTCAACAAAACGATTTACATTAATGGACACAATAAAAACACATTTTGCCCATCCAAAACCTGAAACAGAATATACCAACCAAAAGTAAACGTAATACAATTAAAACATCAAAAGAAACAAACCTTTGAAAAACGGGGGACCAATCAGCCCCTCTGACACCCCGTCTTACGCATGCAGACGCACCCCCCCAGCCAAATAGCTCCCCAGCTAAGGACCCACTGATGAAATCGGCCGGCTACAGGCTGGACGGAGTACAACAAGGCAAACCGGAAGCGCTCAAAGCGCGAAACAGTGCAAACAGTGGCCGGAGGCAGAGCAGAGCCGCCGCCACACCACAGCACATGGGACCCTGTGGTAATAGAATATTAAGGTAAGGGGCTGATTAATTATAATGTAACGCTATCTGCCCCATACCTGTCAAGTTTAGGATTTGAAAATAAGGGAAATTTTCCAGCACCCACCGCGAGCCATCCCACCACCCCAGCCAAGCTCCAGTATCCCTTACATTTTAAGACAGGTGTACAAGAAATCTAAAATAACCACTTGTCATTTACATTTTGTTTTCATTACACATTTTCTTTTAATTTCTCATGTTCACTCATGTGGCTCTCTGGCATTCACCAATGACTTATTATACAGATTTGTGCAGACTTTGTATCCTTGTTGAAGTCGTCACAGAAGGTGAAAGTAACATTGTTTTTGGCACACAGCATTGCCATTTTAACCTCCGCATTTATGACCTGGTTAATGTTGTAAATGACCTGCAGACTACTGCAGGTGGCTACTGACAGTTCAGTTTGGAGAGGCAGAGGAATTTCTTTAAATGATATTATAATATGGGAGATTTACGGGAAAATACTAATACTGGAGGACGGCGGGAAAGAGGGGTAAAATATGGTAGTTTTCCGGCCAAAACAGGAGACTTGACAGCTATGATCTGCCCACATACAAACCAGGCAAAACATTTAACTCACACCTTGGGAGAAGCCCAGCTGTATTATTCCCAGCGTCAGGCGTCCTATCGCAGCTTGTAACATTTACACCGCTCAGGGGCTAAACACAACGGTGCAAGATGTCCCGACCACTAATCCGCGAAAGAACTGGGAGTCCAACAATTGAAATGACCGCCGAAAAGTAGTGTAGTGCGTCTGTGCCGGGGTAACCCCGTAACCCTTATAGTCTGAGCGCCCTCTCCTGTTGGCTACCCAACCCCAGGACTTAATAGCGCACACACCTCGTTTTCTCCTACTGCTACACTAGAACTCAATGACAATATAATGGTTTTGCTGTTGCTGGGGGAATGGCTTTAGATCAGGGGTGGCCAATCTTATCCACAAAGGGCCAGTATGTGCGTACGCAAGTTTTTGGGATGACCTTTAGGTCAGCTGTTCAAACTCATGGTATGAAACCCATGGTGAAGAAAAGGCGGCAAATAAAAGTCTCACATGAGATTTTGGTTTCTCTAGATGCTTATATGTTCTGTCAAGGATGAAGAGTTTCACATCTTTCACACCTGCCAGCTTGATAAGCAAACTGTAGTGGGTCTAATTTGCCATCAATGAGAGACAACTTTAGCTTTTAAAAGTTTCCCAATAATTTTCATCAAGAAGGATGTAAGTGGAACAGATCTGCACTCATGCAATTCCTTGGGGCTTTTTGGTTTGGGATTGGGTATTATGGTGGATGTTTTCCATAAAGTATGTGTCTGACCACTCTTGGCACACATCTGGAAGATTTAGGGGCACCATCAATGTTAGTGTTAACATGGTTTTCTCCTCTGATGGTGTGAGAGACACTACTGGTTTTAGATTTGCCTGATTAACGTGAATAGATTCTGACAGACGTGTGCAGTTCCTTCAGTGCTGTCCTGGCACAAACTGAAACACAAACTCTGGTGAGGCAGACAAAATGCACTTTGCCTCCTGAGACACATACACTGACCTTTCAGCATTGCAGACTTTAACTGGGACGTACCGTGGTGACATGCTACGGTGGCTTTGTTAATCCCTGCTCCTCCTCCATTATTCTCGTGTGTAGTAAAAGTGTAGTATAACAATGTAGATAGCTGTGGTCTTTCTGGAAATAGAACAGCAACCATGTTTTAGCCAGAAAGTCGCAGAGCTGCAGCATCGGTAATGTTAACATACATACAGCAAAATTCTAAAAACCATATAAGCATTAAAATTTGTTTACTTTTTTGCATGAAATCACAGAAATCTATAATGTTGCAGCATTAGTCAGCTTTGGTGCTGCTTTGGCCTGTGAGCGAGGCCCTAAACCCCAATCGCCCCAGGGACTGTCTGACCCTATTCTCTCAGAAGATACTTCGTAGAGTGGTGCAGACGACGGAGAACATCATCGGGTCATCGCTCCCATCTGTTCAAGAACTATACCACTCACGTTGCCATAGCAGATCCATTAAGATCATAAAAGATCCTACACACCCAGCACATGGACTGTTTGAACTTCTGCCGTCTGGAAAACACCACCGCAGCATACACTGCAGAACAGCCAGATTTAACAGGAGTTTCTACCCCCAGGCCATCAGAATACTAAACTCTGTTAAATAACCTTTTGACCTTTTACTCTCCTACCTATTGTGCACTTTATAATCACTGATAGGTCTCAAGTTTTCAATCTACTTATATAGTGCAATAACTAATTCACTGTAATTTTTCATAGTATATATCACCCACTGAATATATTCGTGTATACAGTATATATTTATTGTTTGTACTTTGCTGCTTTTTGTTGTCATGCTGTCTTAACTACCTCTGTAAAGTGAAATGTCTGCATGTTGTATGTCTGTTGTCTTGAGTGCACTTGTCCCTTATGTCTGCACATTGAGCCTTGGAGAAACGCAATTTCGTTCTGCCTGCATCTGTCTTTGTACTGTTGTATGGTGTGAATGACAATAAACTTTCACTTCCCTTCACTTCACTTCAGTTGTATTTTGCTTTGGATGAAAGCTTCTGCTAAATGAATTAATAAATAAAGACTAATGTGCAAATGTGCAGTATGTTTAAGGGTGTGCACAGTTTGGTGTGACAGTAATTCAGTTGTTGAACCTCAGTGTACATGAAAACAACGTGCACTCCCTCTTCAGTACCTTAATCCAGGTATGCT